CTAGGACTTGTCATCTAGGTCTTCCCACCCACCTCCATCATGGCTCTGCCCCCCTCCCCCCCAAGAGTGTCCCCTCATCCGACAAATCTGCATCCCTCACCTGCACCTCCTGAGTGTCAAGCCTAGAGTTTTCTCCATCTTGTATTCTTCAGAAAACCCCAGTGAACATAAATCTTTATTCTTTGAGCCCCAGGTGTCATTTGGTGAACAAAAGGTTGATACATAGAATTGGGCGTCGAAACCAAGATGCAGCTAAAGAAATTAGACCCATCCTCCCCCAGTTTAAAAATCAATTCTGATGATTATTACAAAAGAAAAGTAAAAGACTGTTGTCGTCCATGGCAACATCATTGGAATACATGTTTGGCTTCCTGTGGTGACTACTTGGGCAACCATTGCACTCACTGAGTAGAGTAAGTCCCACCAAACTTGCTTCCAATAAACACATGTGTATAAATTATCTTGATTTGTGACAGAAGGTCTTTCCAGACCCAGGATATGTCTCATTGTGCTTGGAAAGAGCCAAAAGGAATTCACGTTCAGAGCCAGCTTTTCGCTTTTTTTCTTTCCTACGTTCCTCCCTCCCTTCCTCTTTTCCTCTGTTCTTCCCTTCCTTCCTTCCTTTCTAAAATCCCTCTTTATTTTCTCTTTCCTTCAGACCAAGAGATTCAAGGTTCCTGTAGCACGTGTCACCAGCCGCAAACCAAGCCGGCGAGGGTCCACCCTCAGTCTGTCTCGGACAAGTGGAGGGTCATCCCCCCAGAGCAGCATGGTCTCCGTGAACCCGGGCTCAGATGAGCCCCAGAGTGTGATCACCCAGGCGACAGGCAGCAAGGACGTTGAGGACAGTGAATCGTCTTCGGCCAAGCCCGAAGAAGAACCTCTCCATGTCAGTAAGTCCTTCCTTAGATCTGACGAGTCTGCCCTGACTCGGACCTGAAGCCAGATATCAAGAGCCCCGTGTGCTCCACCTTCACCCCACTCAGGTAAAGGAGACACATGGGTCCCCTAGCCCTGTTCAATCTCCATGGACCCCTTTGCTTTCCCTCAATGGAGATCAGAAATATACTCTAACTTGGGTTACTCTGAACCATTTCTCCTTGGGAGACAGCCCATGGTCATCGACCGCTCTTTTTAAAAATTTTAATAGTATATTTTACTTAGCCCAATTTATAAGATATTGTCATTTCGACATGTAATCATATAAAAAAGTATTGATAAGATATTTTACATTTTTTCATACTGTGTTTTTGAAATTCAGTGCCTGCTTTTTTTTTAACAGCTTTATTGAGGTATAACTTGCATACCATAAAATTCACTTGTTTTAAGTGTATGCGTCAACGATTTTTTGCAAATTTATAGAGTTGTATAACCAACAGCACCATCTAATTTTAGAACATTTCGATCAACCCCAAAGAAAACTTCGTGTCCATTGGCAGTCCCTCTCCTTTCCCACCACAAGTCTACTTTCTCTCTCTGGAAATTTGACTTTTCTGGGTATTTTATATAGGGAAGTTGTATCACTCTGTGACTCCCCACTCTGAAACAAGCCTTTTCAATGGTTCACAATTTGGGGGACACAGGTTCTTTAGAAAATCTGTTGGAAACTATGGGCCTCTCTTTAGGAAAAAAATTCAAGCACACACACATACATGTTTTTGCACACTCTTTTAGGGGGACCCTGTGGACCTCCACCAGATAGAATTGTGACTGGATTCCATAAGTCGTGTAAAAAATTCATTTTCAGGACTTTCTGGCTTGAGCTTGTATAGTAAAAGGAGACAGGAAAAGAAAGGATTGATGCAGAAAGATGGAGAAGGCAGAAGGAAGAAAGAGAAAGGGGCATGAAAGAGGCAGGCTCACTGCAGAACTATTGACTCTGGCGCATGAAACACCTTCTCTGCCATATCCCCACGTGGTTTGTCCCCTCAGTGCCACCTAAGCTGAGGCCTGCCTGCTCAGTCAGTGTTCTTTCACACAATCTAGAATGCCCACAGCAACCAAAGCTGGAGCAGGTTTAGTACAGATACAAGGAGGTTGGAAAAAAAAGGTCAAGGTAAACCAGAAAGCCTGATTAGGGCCCCGATTATCAAAGCCAGAAATGGGCAAAAGTGCAAAAGTTCAGTAAGTGGTCAGGACTCATAGTAATGACGGCCAATGAGAAAATTTTCCACCATCCCCCTTGTTAACAGGAGACCAAGAAAAGTTCTAAGCCCTGAAAAGCTGTTTGCTGAACAGAAGTATTATCGCAGATGGAGAGGAACTGAGATAAACCATCATCAGATGTACGACTCTTCTGGATTTCTTGAACCTTCTTTCATTCAAAATGTATTTATTGAGCAGCTACTGTGTGCCTGGAACCGAGGATGACAGTACCTGCCCTCCCCAAGCTTATATTTTACAAGGAAAAAGCAGACATAAACAAGAAAGCCATAAATAGCAAGCCAATTGCAGATAATACATGATCGGAAGTTAATAAAACAAGATTCAGGCTAGAGAGAGACTACTGGTGGGAATGGAGCTAGGTTAGACAGGGTGGTCAAGGAAAGCCTCTCTCAGGTCTGACATTTGAGCTTCTGAAGACACGAAGCTGGGGAGGGATGCAGGGGTGAGAGCATGCGTGGCCTTTGTAGAGCAAGGTAAGGACTTCAGAATTATTCCAAGTGCAAGAGGAAGGCTCTGGAAGGTTGCAAGTGTAGGGGTAACAAGACCTGGTTTTCTTTTCAAAGGTCTGTGTGTGGTTATTAATGTTGTGTCCGCGCTGTGTCTCTTAACTCTGAAAACCTTGCTCTCAAGTTAGACAAGCAGAGAAGAGTCCCCAGCTTCAAGAAGTGCCTCAGTCCCAGAGTTCACGTATGGTTCTCCCAGGGGCAACCTGAGAGCTGAAGGAAGGAGGGACCAGAGGAGGAAGAGACTTGGCAGTGAGGGGAGGGGAGAATAGTGCCCTCTCTCCAGGCACCCGAGACACCACAGACCCTTCCCTAACGGCCACCCTACTCCTACTCTCAGTCTAACCAGTTGCCTGCCCCAACCAGTGCCATCTCCCAAAGCTCTTTTGAACCCTACCCTCTTCATTCCTATTGCTTTCGTCTTAGTTTAGAGATAGAAAATTGGGGCACATGGGCTGGTTCCTGCAGACTGTGTTTTGTTTACCACACAAGGCTTTGTTTAAAAAAAAAAGAAAAGGAGGAGTGACTTTTTAAGATTGAGAGATTGGACATCAAAATTCTGATTTAAAAAAAGTTATTCTGTGTGGCAACAGTGGGCCTGCAACCCTGCATGACAGCAGTCAACTGGAGCTGCCCTTCTTAGGTGGGGCATGTGCTCTCTAGTTTTCCACAGTCCCCACCACTCCCTGTTACTCCCAATCATTACATTGCTCCCAGTTGGCCAAGTGCTTGCCCATGTATCATCTCCTTTGCCCTCTTGTTTGTCTTAGAATGATAATGATGATGATACAATAACTAACCCTAAGAGGACTTTTATGTGTCAGGCACTGCATATGTGAGTGTGTGTGTATGTATATATGTGAATATACACAGATATAAATATTCATTTAATCCTCACAACAACTTTTTTTTGCCTATTTTGCAGATGAAGAAATTGGGGTACAGAGAGGTTAAATTATGTGCCCAAAGGCACACATCCAATAAGTGTTGAAGCCAGAGTTTGAAACCAGGCAGTCTGGCTCTCATGTCACACTTAATTTCTATGCTTTACCCAAGTCTCTAGAAAAAGTGGGAAATGAAGGACCAAGAGAGCAGCCTGATTTTTCTCACACTAGCTCTTGTCACTCACCTGTGGTATCTGCTCCCTGTAGGCACCTAGGCTGGGGAGCCCTGGTCCAGTTTTCATCACCTCTCATCTAGATGACAGTAGCAGCCTCATAATTAACCTCCCTGCTTCTTGTCTTACCCTCCCTTGCCTGCAGATTCTTCTCTGTGTTGAACCAGAAGGAACTTTCTAAATTAAAAACTTAATGTAGTGCTTCCCAGCCTAATATCTTTCAGTGACCCCTCCCCCCCCCCCCCCCCCCGCACCAATTACCACAAACTTAGTGGTTTAAAACAACACATTTATTCTCTTAAATTATGGCGATCAGAAATCTAAAATCAAGGTGTCAGCAAGGCTGTGTTTCTCCTAAAGGCTTTGGGAGAGAATCCATTTGCCTTTTTCAGTTTCTGGAGGCTGCCTACATTCCTTGGCTCATGGTCTCTTCCTTACATCACACCATCCTCCTGCTTTGGTCATCAGATCTCCTACTACTTGCTCCCATCTCCCTCTTACAAGGACCTCTGAGATTATATTGGGTCCACCTGGATCATCAAGGCTATTCTCCCCATCTTAACTTAATCACACCTGCCAAGTCTCTTTTACCATTAAGATCACATATTCACAGGTTCTGGGTATTAGGACACGGACGTATTTGGGGGCCATTATTTAGCCTACAAGCGGAATTCTATTTCTACCTTTTCATTCCCAGACTTGCATTTTCTGTCTATACTGGACATGGCACTATATAATGAGTTTGATTTAGTATACTGAGTCCTGGTGGACGGCATCCCCCCCCCCCCCCCCCCCCCCCCCGCCCATTGCTTCTAAGACACTGCATCTGATCTTGTCCCAGGCTGCCTATAATGGGCTCCGCTCTTGCCATGTCACACCTTACACCAGGTGCTCCAGCCTCACTAAAAAAACTCTCTCCTCCTAAACAATGCATCTTCTTTCATGCCCTCCTCTGTCTGTGGTGCCCTTTCACCTCCAACCCTTCAGTCGAATGGACTCCTATCCAACCTTTAAGACCCAGCTCAAATATTCCCTCCCCTGTAAAGTTTTCCCTGACTCTCCTTCTCTCAATTCTCTTAGTATTTTGTATTTGCTTGTATTAAGTACTCAATTTTAATTTACAACTACATGTCACTGTATCAGGTGGGAGCTTCTTTTGGCTAGGTACAGAGACCTGAAAAAGAGTAGCTTGAAAAAGATAAAAACTAATTTTTCTTACAGATTAGAGATAGGGTGGTTCCAGAAGGTCATCAGGGATCCTGCTTCCTTCTGTCTTTCTTCTCCACCACGGATCACCTCATGGTCCAAAATGGCTGCTGGAATGCCAGTCATCAGAGTCACGTCCTACGAGGGAAGCAGAAGGAAGTAGGTAAAGTAGAGAAGTGCCCACTTGCAGCTGAGTTTTAAGCAGTCTTCTCAGAAGCTTCATACAGTATTTCTCCTAAAATCTCATGGCCCAGAATTTAGTCACAGGGGCACACCTAGCTACAAAGCATGTTGGGAAATTGGGCTAATAAATGCTTCCCTCACACACACAGACACAAAAGTGCACACACACACACACACACACACACACACACAAAAGTACATATGCATACATACATTTCTGTTACTGAAGAAAGGAGAAAGGAGTGTGAGCTCCCTTCAGGCATGGAACAACGTCTTACTCACCTTCTACCTGGCACACGGCAGGTGCACAGCAATGGCGGGGAGATGCATTCCCACCAGAGACCAACACTCAGGAGAGAAAGTCCTTCTCCCTCAGCCTCTTCACTATTTGTACCTTTTCCTCTATTTGTACCTTAACGTCCATTGCATTTGTCGGAGCCTTCACCAAAGTAGATTAATTTCCCAGACTTTCATTGCCTTCTAAAACCTCCTCAGACTGATCCTGAATTCCTGAATCCTATTCTAAGAGACATGCCATCTGACCAAGGTTTAATTTCCAGGGCTAGCTGCATAATGAAGTCTTTGTGGACACAGGTCGCTGGGGACAGTAGGCTGTGGCCTCTCTGTGGAATGGTCCCTTCCCAAATCAATGGCCAGGGGATTCCGGAGGAGCCAAAGCCCAGACCATTCCTTCTGCCAGTCTTGAATCTTCCAGTCTTGGAACTGTTAGAGGAGAAACTCACTTAAATAGTAACTCAAAAAGAGGGGTCCTGTGCCTTCTACTGTTCCCCCCACTCCGCCACCGAAACAACCCAATACAACAAAAGGACTTCCTCTCTTTTCCCCCAACAGAGAGGAAGAAATGGGAATAGTTGCTCTCAAGGGGGATTCTTAGACAGGCCGGGGATGGACGATGGAGGAAGGGAGTTAGAATTTTTCCTTTAGGGGTGTGATTCGGCATCTGAAACAGAGGATGCTGTTATCTCTGAGCATTGGGCAATGGCATCCCCATAGCCCTGGGGACTGAGAACTAAGCAGGTTCCTCTGAGTGTGGGCATCCGTCACAAGACTGTCTTCCTCAGGGAGATTCTATTCTGTGGCACCTGCACCTTTTCCAAACAAATCTCTCCTTCCTTCGAGAGTAGACATGGGCCTTGGTGGGTAGACATGGGCCTTGGTGGGTAAACATGGGCCTTGGTAGGTAAACATGGGCCTCACAGTCCCAAGGCTTTGTTCTAGTTCATACATATCCAACCTCAGCTGTGTGACGGGTGGAGCTTGATGTTGGTGGGCACCGTTCCTGCCCAGAGGCATTATTGGCAAGCAGAAAGAAACCTTTGGTGCATTAAATGGCATATGGAGCCTTATAGGGGATTCTCTAGGAGAGCTGCCCAGTGTGCCAGGTCACTGGGCTCATTTGCTGGTATCCACCCACTAGGCTGGTTTGCTTCCGGGTAGGGGCAGGAGTGGGGGAGTGGTCAGATGGTGCTGCTGGGTCCCCAAGAGAAGGGAAGAAAGTGGAGGAAGCATCCAGAGCTCCCTCATTAATAGGCTTCTGGACACACCCCAAGGATTCTGGGATGCGTGGCAGTAGGGAAGGTGGGCATGACAAGACAAAAAAGAAGATGGGATCCAGGTCAGATGGAATCATGTCCACCAGTGACTGGGAAGGTAAACCATCAGTACTTGAGGATGAGGAAGGGGGAGTGGAAGGTGGCTAAATGCTGACGTTTGTCACAGCCTAGCTGGCTCCCAGGTCACTGGCGGGAGCACCCTTTCCCTAGCACCCAGTGACTGCATTCACAAACAAGGTTGGACACAAACGGCCCTGGGAAGCACTGCCTTCACCCTTGCAGGTACGGCTTTTGAGACTTGACCTCGAGCTGACTACAGGCACCTACTAAAGAGTGAAGAGTGTCCGTGTTGGCCCTGTCTTCCTTCATTGATATTCCAAATCTAGCTCATAGTCTCCCAAACCCCTTCCTACTTTTTTCTTCTCCTTAGTCGTTTGCTTATTTATTTAGCAAATATTGACAGAGACGCCTGTATGACAAGCAGGGTGCCAACTGCTTGCCCATCTGTATTTGTGCAAAACACTTAGGGTTTCCACTCTCCCACTTTTCTTGAAGCATCTAGCTTACTCCAAATATATATTATTTTCCAACTTTTAAGAGTGTCCATGCATGAGATTCCCAGGGCTGCCTTAACAAAGTACATTTCCCGGCTTAAAGCAATAGGAATTTATTGTCTCACAGTGCTAGAGGTTAGACTCCAGATGAAGGCGTCAGCCGGGCTGTGCTTCTTGTGAAATCTGTATGGGAGAACCCTTCCTTGCCTCTTCTAGCTTCTGGTAGTTGTTGGTAAGCCTTGGCATTTTGGCTTGTAGACGCATCAGCAGTCCGGTCTCTGCCTCTGTCATCACTTGGCCATCCTCTCCCTTTGTGTCTCTCCCACCTTATTACAAGGACACCAGTCATATTGGATTGAGGGCCCATCCTACTCCAGTATGACCTCATCTTAGTTACACCTGTAGCCGCCCTATTTCTAAATAAGAATATGAATAATTCACATTCTGAGGTACTGAGGATTAGGGCTTGAACATTATCTTTTGGGAGGACACAAGTCAACCCATAAAAGTGAGGCACAAAGAAATATCTCTACATTGTGTAAAAAGCAACAATGTGAAGTGTGAATATACAAGTCAACTAATGCAGTGAGGAGTGGTGGGGGGAGCATGGGGAGCTGGAGAATGCACTGGAACGTCTAAAGGGCCCCATCAGCACGGGATGAGCCCCACCTCAGAGTCTTTTCCAGGGAAACTGGAGGCCCAGATTTGTAATGTGAAAACTTCCAGTTATGAAAAGTTTGAGCATCTACATCAAATCAAATCAAACACATTTACGAGCTACAGTCAGCCTGAGGATCACCAGTTTGGAACTTCAGGTCTTTGGGATCAGAGAGGGTTTTCCCGGGCAAGTTGATTTCTTCTTGGAATTGGAAACAGTTATCTCAGGCTACAGAAGAGTGTTTAAGGGCGGGGTGGAGGGGGGCTGCGGCCAGGAGGAATGAGATGAAACAGGAAACAGAGCAGCCGAGACCCTCAAGGCCTCACAGGCCACGGGGAGGAATTTAGCTGTCGTCCCAAGGAGATGGCCAGTCACTGGTTGGAAGCAGAGGAGTCACGTTTACAACCTGCAGACTTCTAGAACCCGGTCAAATCCTTCTCCGGCTCCCCAGTGCGCCAGAGCAGAGGCGATATCGGCCTGAGGGCTGGGCCGTGACCTGCGCCGTCCTGTCTCATGAGCACCCTGCAGACAGTGACCTCTTGTGTTCCCATCAGATCTGCAGAAGCTCCTGGAGATGGTTCGGGAAGATGCTCAGAGAACAGTCACAGTGGCAAATGGGATGCAAAAACAAGCGGCCAGGTATGTTCTTTTGACACCTGGGCAAATAAAGGACGTCAGCATCATAGTGATAACATAAAGGACAGCAGTTCCCAACCGTTGAGCATTTCCTTTGTGACAAGCGCTGAACCGTGTACTTTGCTCATGTGTATCACCTCCCTGAGTTCTTCCAACAACCCTACAAGGTAGGTACTGTTGTCTTCATTTTACAAATAAGGAAATGAGGTTCAGAGAGGTTAACGAATGGTAAGGCCACCACTCGAATCCAGACCTTTCGTATTCCAAAAACTGTTCTCTTATCCATTCCGCTGCACAGCTTCCCAGGAACCCAGAGGTTTATTCATTCATTCTTTTAGTGAGTATTTATGAATAGGGATGGACCGTACCAATTATTGCAGGAAGTGTTATGAAAGAAAAGCTCAGACCTGTGAGAGGACATAATAGGGGCGTCTGACCTAGTCTGGGATGGGGATGAGAGAAGTTCCCTCCAAAGAAGAAACTTTAAGCTGAGATTTTGGATGAAGCATGAGAAAGAGCCCACCGGCCAGAGTCGCTGGGGGGGTCGCCAGGAGAGCCAGCAAGCGGAGTGAATACTGCAGACAGCACATGTGCAAACATGGTCCAAAGGGAGTGTAGCACCTTCAGGGAACTGAAATGCTTCCCAGATGGGATGGGCAGAGATATAAGTCTGTCTGGGGACCCTGGAAGCCACCTCTAGGATTCTGATTTCTATCCTAGGAACAAAAAGAATCCTTTGAAGTTTCAAGCCGGCAACCAATGTAATTGGCTCAGAGAGTCAGACTTGAACCTGAGGTGTCCTCCTTCTGGAGGAAAGCCCTGTTTGTCCACTGGACCTCTGGCCTCTAAAAGCCTCAGAGAGCATGCAGGCTAGAGCTGAAGTTCCCTTTCCAAGTGTGGATCCCTCAGAGTAAGCGTATGACTTCCTGAGAATAAATGAGGCACTGGAGAGGTTCATCATGGCCTTCAGCCTCCTGGGATGCCAGCTGTGACTTATTGGTTATTGTTATTAGCATAAGTACGGTTCACCAAGCACACTCACATGCATCACACCCGCCTCTGCTTGTTAATGATGAATTGGCTGCCGCTGCCTCAACTCACATCGGGGCTCTGGAGGCTGGCGTTGAAGGCTCTCAGAGACAATATTGGCCCTTAAGGCCCTGGTCGCTGCGCCTGATTTATCAGCGTTAAAGACAGATGACAGTGACGAAGCATCGGCTCCAAGAGGCTCCTTCCTTTGCAAGAACTCACGCCATGAGATACTGGCTTTGGAGTCAGACCGACGTAGGTTCAAGACCTAGCGCCTTTGAACAAGTCCCTCAGCCTTTCTCTAAACCTCAGCTTTCTCATCTATAAAATGAGATTGTGTTTCATCAAAGCACTGGCGGTGGTACCAAGTAGACTAGGGTCAATCTCCATTTCCGTGACTTAATTGCTGTGTGCTGTTGAGCAAGTTGCTTCACCTCTCTGAGCCTGATTCCAATCCTGTAAAATGAGGCTCATTAACAACCTATCCCAAAGGGCTGTAATGAGAATTAGATGATAATTTCCTAGTAAAGTGTTTTTAAATGTCTACATCACAGTCATTTGAAGCATTTAGTGAGATAATGCATTTAACATATTAGCATGTGCCTGGCATACTGTAAGCAAACAAAAACTGGTGACAGTGGTGGTGGTGGTTGTTACTTTTGTTTCACATGCAGCATCCTATGGAACCTCTGCAGCCACTCGCTGAGGCAGGTTGATTAACCAGTACCTGGTACCATGGTCCCATCTCATAGATGGAGAAGAATGGCCGGGAGTGACCTGCTTCAGGTCCTCAAAGACAAAACCACACAAGAACCTGGTTCTCACAGAACGCATCACGTGGCCTCTGCATTCACTTTAATGATAAAATAACCATGGTTACAGTGCAAGAACCTGTTGAAATTTCCCATCCTCTTCAATTCCTCCGGGAGGAAAAGCTCCCTAATCCCTTGCTAAGGCAGCAAATATTGAAGGCTTCTCTGTGGAGCTGCCCAGAGACAGGGGAAGCTGCAGATTCTCTTTTGCCTTCCTCACTTTAAAAATGTAGATTCCTATTTCACTTTAGACAGCAAGTCTGCTCCCATCAAGACTGACATAGAATTCTGGGGGTTTTAGGAACCCCTGAAAGCCTTCTCTCCCAGCCCTCAGCCTCAAGGGCCAGACCGCCCTCTGGTCACCTGTCTTAGGGCATTTGGGCTGGTGTAATAAAAAATCCCATAACTGAGTGGCTTGTAAAGACGAGACATTTATTTCGCACAGTTTCTGGAGGATGGAAAGTCCGAGATCGAGGTGCCAGCAGATCAGCGTCCAGCAGGGACACTCTTCCTCATAGACAGCTGCCTTCTCACTGTGTCCTCACGTGTAGAAAGAACAAGCTAGTTCTCAAGGGTCTGTTTTATAGGGGCTTCAATTCCAGTCATTAGGGTTCCACCCTCATGATCTAATCACCTCCTAGAGGCCACCACCTCCTAACAGCATCCTCTTGGGATGAATTTGGGGGGCCATAAACATTCAGACCATAACATCACCTAGGAAGATGACCTTTTCTTAAAATCCTCTAGCAGTATTTTACAAATGTCCCTGAAGATCAGAATCAGCTGGGACGCTTGTGAAAACTACAAATTTCTGGTCTTCATCCCAGACCCACTGAATCAGACTCCTTAGAGGAAACCGCATTTTTTAACAGGCACTTCAAGCAGGCATTATTTCATGGTATGCCAGGAAATGCTAAGGTTTTCAAAATATGCTCCCTGCACACCTGCATCAGAAGTCTGTGTGTGTGTGTGTGTGTGTGTGTGTGTGTGTGTGTGTGTGTGGTTTTAAATGCAGCTTCTGGGGTCCCACTCCAGGCCTGATGTATCCAGATCTCTGGGAGTGTGGCTCAGGAATCTGCATTCTCATTCTGAGCAATTTTTCCGGGTGATTCATGCCCTCCTGTAGAGCCTATCCTAGGATCCCTGCTCTAGAAGGAGAACTCTCCATTCTCCCACAGATGTTTAGTGCCTTGGGGAGCATCATTTGTTCAGCGCCTTATTAAGTGACTCATCTTGCTTTGCAGTATCTTCTCAATGCTCAGACAAAACAAGAGTGATTCTGCCTATAAAGACATGCAGACCACCCGCAAATCAAGGTAGGAAGGCCTGGGACCCTAGCAGGTGGGTCAGGAGGCACCGCACAGTTATGGGTGGCGTTGCAGAGATGACCCTCACCAGACTGTGGAAAGTGGGGCAGGGAGGGGGATCTTCTTCCTTATTCCCTGGAAATAAGCTCCTTAACTCCCAGGTCTTGGGGGTGAATATTCAGCCATTTCTCCCCAGTAATCGTATACCATGAAGTTACAATCTTCTGGTAGTGGAGGGATGAAGTGGGGAGGGTATGTCACAGAGCTAACTCTTCCCTTTTTACTTGGGTGACTTGTAATGGGGGAGGTAAAGGTCTGCCCTCAATTCATTTATTCATCTATAGAATATTCCTCAGTCCCCGCCGTATGCCAGGAACTGTGCTCAGCTCTTTAGAGATTCAGCAGCAAACAAGACAGAAGCAGTCTGACCACATGAGTGGATCCCACTGTCTGGTCTGGGGTCATAACTCCTTTTGTGTCATAGATTCTTTGACCATCCGAGGAAGCTTACAGACTCCTTTCAGAAAAAATGCTTTCAAGTGCAGACTATAAGTGACAAAGGTTTACAAAGAAATCTATAGTAATATCGATTACGACATTACAATCAAATGTGAGATATATCGTCGTCTGTGAGCTTCTTCAGCAATACCTTATGCCATAAGACTTAGCAACAGGTCTAATAACTACTGTAATTTTAGTGTCAAGTGTAAATGATTTTTCAAAATCTCTCCCACAATTTTAACGTGATGCGTAAAAATGGTGATTTCCATTTCTGTGAAAGGCTGGGTGAAGAGGTAAAAGCTGTTTTTTTCTGTCTGCGTTCATGGACCCCTTGCCTCCTGCCCGTGGTTGAGAACTGCTGTTCTCATGGGAGAGTCATGCATTTATCAAATAACCCCACAGAGGTAGCTGTATAATCATGACTGTGGAAAGCATTCTGAAGGAGGATTATGGAGGATTTGGTGAATGTTGAGCACCAGGGTTCTAACCAAGGCTGAGTTTGACATGTAAGCTGAGACCTGAAGGAAAAAAGAATTAGCTAGCCTGTGGCTGGGAAGGCTGGGATCTGGAATCTGCATTCTCATTCTGAGCAATCTCTCCAGGTGATTCCTATGCCCTTCCCCCTGTAGAGCCTACGGTCCCTGCTCTAGAAGGAATAGTAGGAATAGTGTTCTGAGCAGAGGGAATAGCATGTGCAAAGGGTCTGAGGCAGGAGGAAGCTTAGAGGCACTGAGCAAAGACCAGTATGGCTGAAACTCAAGGAGGGCCAAGGAGAGGGGAGACTGAGACAGGCAGAAGGGTCTTTTGTTGTTGTTTGCTTGTTTGTTTATCACAGCTAACAACACGGCTTCCTTCCTCTCCTGCCTCCCCGCCAAGTCACACTATCAGCCCTAGAAGAGAGCCGTCTACAGGAGGAAGGTCAAAGCCAGCCTGCTCCCGCAGAGAATTCAGCAGCAGAGGTTGGGGCAGCTGGGTGGAATCCAAACACATGGCCTTCTGGGTATTATTACTAGGGCTCTGCTTCCCAGCAAGGTGGGATAGGGCCTGCTCCATCACCTGCCAGACCTAAGGTCTCTAGGTCTAGTCCAATGAGCCCCTGGGAAAAGCAGCAAAGGCCGGGCCCTTTCCTCTGGGGAGTGGTCTGGGAAATGGCCTGAAGAAGCCCCGCCTGCCACAGGGCTGGAAGGGAAGGGTTAGCCACACATCATAGGGATAAGGAAAACAGTCTTACCCTCTAGAGTCACACAGATAAAGCAGTCAAGTCAGTTTCTCAAATGTTTAGAGAAACAAAGGGAGGCAGCGTGTGAGAGAAGATGCTGCAGGCCCAGGTCACTGAAGGAGGACCTGGAAGAATGTATGGGGGGATGGGCGCAGGCAAAGACCTTCGTCCCCATCTAGGGACCCTAGCCAGGCAGAGTCACAGGAGGGAGCAGCTGCTTAAGGAATTCACCCCCACCCCCACCCCCACCTGGAAAGGGTCAAATGACACCAGGAGTTGACTGATCACAGATGAGGAGACTGCTGATCCAGGGCAGAGGTGCTCATCCGCAGCCTGGGAGAAGGCAGCGCCAGGGCTGGGCTCTGAACCCAGCTCTGCCTGCCTCCAGCGTTGAGTGCAGTGGGTGCTCAGCACCAGGGTCCAGTTTAGAGAAGAGAAGCCTTGAATGAAGAGGCGGCCTGGGGCCGGGAACACCACAGACAATGTGCCCTGGAGGACTCGACCCCCCCCCCCTGCCCTGCCCTCAGCAGGACTGCACTCAGCCCCAGGGTAAGTGCTGACAAGTGCAGAGAGGAGGCGTGGGAGGGTCCGAAATGAACCTGTCCTCCAGATGGAGAGACCGATCTCATCCAGATGAAGCTGGGATCCAGAAAATGTGTCCTCCCAGCAATATGCAGAGGCAAGAGGCCACAGCTGGACTTGGAGAGTCAGAGCAGGCAGAGCTTGCTCTAGGCCATGAGACAGGGCGGGATCTGAGCAGGTAGAGAAGAAACGAGGACTGTCCAGGCAGTGCGTCTGGTAGGAGTAAAGGCCAAGACGCGGGGAAAATGCACATCGTGTTCTATTTCTGATGCCTCGATTAGAACCACCGCCCTCACCTGAATCCTGGTGGCCAGCAGGCGTCATGGTGGCCCTAAAGTCACCCTTTCTGGAAATATAAGGCTCCAGGCAACTTGAAACCAACCTTTGTGTTTCAGTGACAGATCCAGTAGTACAAGTGGAGACAGCCACTCCCAGGTGCTCCAGAAGAAGTCTAAAAGGTAGGCCAGCTGGGCAGCGGAAGATGCCAGGCAAGAGGGACTGTGGCAACCCTCCATCTTCCCAGGGGTGTAGAAATAACCCGGTGCACACCAGACTCCCTGAAGCCATAGACACACCTGAAGGACAAAGGACTCCCAGGGCAAGGGGCTCACGGCCAAGATGCTGAGCAGCCAGACAGACAACGGCAGCAAGTTCTTCCTTCATGCTTGGTGCTGGGCAAAGCATTCTGTATTCATTATCTTGCTTATTCTTCAAAAGCAATCCTATGAGCCAGGGGTGGTATCCCATTCTACAGAGGAGCAGACTGAAACCTGGCCAGGTGAAATGTCTCGCCAGAGGCCACACAGCTAAAAAGTGGTGGTACGGGAGTTTGAACCTGAATCTCCCAGCTCCATCACACCGTCCTTAACACTTGCTGGGCTGAAGAGACCAGATGTCTCTCTGTGGGCTCGTTTAATAAGGCCTGACCCACCAGCCTGATGTTTTTGGGAAGATCTATCTTTCCTACCTCCAGTGAGGGTGGAGAACGTGGGTGGGTGTTATTGCAGACCACCTTGGGGCCCGGGGAGGCCAGCCTCGTGGGTCTGTCCCTTGGGCTCCATCCCCCAAGCCCTTCTCATCTGTGTCCACAGCCGCACCAACCGTGACATCATCCACTGCAAGAGTGGGGTGTGTAACGCCATGAGGGCCAAGTTTAACAGTGTGGCCCAGGAGGCTGGCCTCTGTCTACAGGACAAGATGGAAATCCTCATGAAGTAAGGGCACACATATTTCCATTCACTCAAAGGACATTCATCTGGCACTTACTCTGTACCCACCAGATGCTAGGAGTTGGGGTTATAACAGGGAACAAGAAGGACCTGTTCCCTGCCCTCAGGGAGCTTGTAGTCTCCTGGAAAATATGGGCGGAGACAAAATAACTGAATTGATCAGTTTATAGGTACAGATTATGATCATTGCTATACTGTAAGAGAACAGGGTTCTCGGAGAGAGAGAGAAACCATGGGGTCCTCCTAATGCAGGTTGGATAACCCAGGAAGACCTCTCTAAGGAGGTGATGTTAAGGCTGAGCCCTGACAGATGGAGAGGAGCTGGTGGTTTGGTGAGAAGGTGGAAAGACATTCCAGGCAGCGGGCAAAGCACGGACAAGCTCCCAAGGTAGGAAGGGGTCTAGAACATTTGAAGAGGAGGAGGAAGTAGTGGGTGAGCTCTGCATGGCACACGGCCGGGAACGGCACGATTGAGACGCGGAGCTTGACTTTCCGAGCAGCAGCAGACAATTGGGAGCTCTCCTTCTCTCTTCTGACAGGCCAGTCACTGCCTCCCTTCCCACCTGACCCCTTGACTACGGTGACTGTTTTTACCCCAGTGAACTCGTCCATTCAGCGAAGGTTTCATGATGACCCTTTGCCCTCTCACCCTCTCAGGGCGGGGGGACCAGCTGCTCTGGGCCACAGGGTCCAAAGTTGACTTGCCCCTACCTTCTGGGAGCTCCCAGTCTAGTGAGGGAGACAGACAAATAAAGAGGCGATTACCACCCAGGGTGATGAGGGCCAGCATGGGAATAAGGAAGGGGCTAAGGGAACACAGAAAGGTCCAAGGGAAATCAGAAAGGTCTTCCTGGAGGAAACAATATTTTCAGCTTAATAAAAATAGGTGATATTTCCAGGGCACTCACTATGTACCAGACATGGGTGTAAGAGCTTTGTTTTTATTACTTGGGCCTCACAACAGTCCTGTGGGGGTAGGTGCTATTATTAGACCCATTCTACAGATGAGAAAAGTGGGCTCAAAGATGTCTCTTGTCGACGGCCACGCAGTGGTTAAGTCTTAATAGTAAAGGTGGAATTCAAACCTAAACCGTCACACAGGAATAGTAGGAGGGAAGAGAGTTCCAGGGAAAAGCAACAGCAAAGTCCCAGAGGCAAGAAGGGGCACAGTGGGCCATAAACTGCCAGTAGTCAGGTGTGCTGGGGCTTAGGTTGTTTACAAGGTAAGTGGAGAGATAGACAGAGGCCAGATCATAAAAGGCCTTCCTAACCCAGCTGTGGAGGTTGAACTTTATCTCAGAGTCTTTGTTCATGAGCCAAACCATAAAATGCTGGGAGGAAAGGGATGGAAAGGATAGAGATAAAGCTGGAAGATGTCGTAGGGGCTGAATAATCCAGCGCCTGGGAGGGTAAGTCACTCAGAGGACTTTACTCTGAGTAAATGGAAAGCCATTGAAATTCGTAATATATAGGTGAGGGCATGGTTATATTTGTAATATAGTCTCTGTGGAGAGATAGGACATATACACCAAATGATAAAGGGAATGGGGAAGAGAGGAACCAACATGAGTTAAACACCTACTGTGTGTCTGGCACTAAGCGCAGCACTGTACACACATTATCATTTCCTCCTCACCACTGGGATCTAGGAATCGTTATTATCCTTCATTTTACAGACGAGAAAGCCGTGTAAATACAATCAAAAGTAGGGAGAGAATGAGGGCTGATGAAAAAGTGACCGGATTTAGCGAGACGTGAGCATTTCAGGACCTCGGAGAGAGCTGTATGCTCTTGTGCCCAAAGCCAGCTTGTATATTAGAGTGGCTGAGAGGGTTAAGAAGGACCGCAAGAAGGAAGAGGTGTTTAACTCAGCTCTCAAAGGGCAGCTAGGATGGTTAACGGAGAAGAGTGTCTGATTCTTCGTTCTCTTTCTCCTGCAACCTGTCATGCAGGCGCCAAGAAGAAAGAGGTCTCCAGAAGTTCCGTTCTTTTGACCTTGTCTCAAATTTCCAAAAGGATGTAGCAAAAATGAGACACCACATCTCCATGGTAAAAGGAGATGCAGAAGAAATTGCACACCACTGGTAAAGATCCTGAGAGCCAGTCCCTGAAGTGGGTGAAGGGGGCAGTGGTGTTACAAAATTACATTTGATCCCATTATCCTTCAAGACACAGAGAGGCATCACTCCAGAACTGTCCTTGGCCACCAGTGCCACCACTACCCCCAAACCAGGCTATAGCCAGAGTACAACCAGGCAAGAGCCCCTCAGTCCCTGAACTGCAGATAACCTACCCAGCTGTGTTCTCCATATTTACCTTGTTTGATTCGGCTTGCAAATACGGAAGTCCTGTCCAAGCTGTCTCCTATAAGAGAGGTAGGAGAGGCAAACCAATCTGAAAATTCTACAGATCCTGAGGTCTATGCAGGGAGAACTATATTTCTCCAAATAATTTAACTCTTAAAGATACAAAGCCAGACAGGCATATCCCAGGACCCCTGCGCGCCAGCGCAGGGATGATAATAAGTACAACAAAAAGCAGTGGGAATTGAGTGATTACTGGATGGCAGACACTCTCCTAAGCAATTTTCATAAATTATCTGTTTTATTCCCCACAAAAATCCCGAAGGTTACACATTAACCCCTCACTTTACAAACAAGGAAATGTTAGGATTTAAACCTCTGTCTGACCTGTCTCTATGCTTAGGAGCAATAAAAAAGTGGAGTCTGATTTCCCAAAGCTCCATCCTGTCAGGGTGAGTAAATCAAGATCTACGAGTAAGATGGGAAAGCCTAAAAACGTACCCAGAATCCCTTCAAAAATTTTAATAATGCAGAGTGGGAGCTTACAAAGAGACATGAATAAATATGTAAATACATATCACAAATATAAAGCAATATGGGCAGCCGGAATGTATGATGGAGGATCAAGTTCTGCAACTTTTTCTGCAATCAGGGAAAAAAAACCTTTTTTTCATGCGGTACCACTGCTGCCGTCACCCGCACCTGAACCCCCAGGTTAGAACCTACCTCGTTCCCACAATCTCAAGGATGGATTCCCAGACTACCTTCACACGCTGTCATCATATTGATAGATATTCTTGAAATACACAAAGCTGTGACTCCTGCTTACTCGTTATCAGGGACAAGGAAAACACACACACACACACACACACACACACACACACACACACACACACACACACACACCCCGCAGCAGCAGCACCTTGTGTGTGAGAGAGCCTCTTGCATCCTAGAAGGTATCCCACAGATGTGTCTGTGTCCTCCTTGGCTTGATTAACTGTCAAAAGAGAAGCTTCACAGCCATGTATCACAGGGAGGTCAGCTCGGTGCTTTGTGACCACCTAGAGGGGTGGGATAGGGAGGGTGGGAGGGAGGGAGACGCAAGAGGGAAGAGATGTGGGGACATATGTATATGTATATCTGATTCACTTTGTTATAAAGCAGAAACTGACACACCATTATAAAGCAATTATGCTCCAATAAAGATGTTAAAAAAATAAATAAATAAAAAATAAAACCTTCAAAAAAAAAAGAGAAGCTTCAGGATACCAGCGTTCTTCCTTTCTTCTAACTTTTCACATTGTCTGCTTGGTAGAAAAATCATAAATGCATCACTTTAAAGCATGCCCTTAATTTTTTTAATGCGATGCAAATCATGCTCCAGCTTTTACTATCCATAAAAATAAAGACTTGCCTGATCTCTGGGCACTCTACATTGACGGGGGGAGGAAAGTCCCCCAGATAAAGACCGATGCTGCCTTGGAGATACCACATGAGTGATAGAGATAGTGGAGATGGGGTCCCTGTGGTGCCCAGACCCATCTCCCAGCAGTTTCCTAACTGACCCTCTCTTGGAACTGAAGGTACTTGGACCTGCTGTCCAAACTTCCTGAGGATCTGAAGAATTTCCGCCCTGCCAAAAAGATCCTGGCGAAACTGCAGAAGTTTGGGGAAAATCTGGACCTGAGGATCCGGCCGCATGTTCTCTTGAAGGTGCTGCAGGACATGAGGCCCTGGGAGCTGTGCTCTCCGGACATCGCGGTGGCTGTCGAGGTACTGACCCCTTCCTTCCCCCTCACAGTGCCTCCGGCACACTCATTCATTCCTCTCTCAACATCCAGGCACTGTTTAAGTTTTTAAAGTTTTAAAAAGACATAAAGGCCTTCATGGAACTCGTCATCTAATAGGAGAGGTGTTGTCACGTGACCTTGGTTGTTCAACTCCAGGGGATGTTATATTCTGTGTAGACGGTGCCCCCCGGAAACTTGGAGGTTTTGGAGAGACATAAATAAATGGACATGTGAATACAATAACTGGCGATCATAAAAAGGGGCACTCTAAATCTGGCAACTTAAAATTGTGGCCCATGGACCTCACGTGGGTACTCATTAGGAATGCAGAATCTCAGGCTCCAAAGCCCATCTCATCAGCTCAGGATCTACATTTAAATGAGATGCTGGGCGACTTGTACGGACAGTAAAGTTTGAGGAGCCCCGATTTAAGGTAAATGTAGAGGGGGCTCATCGTGACTAGAGCCACTGGGGAAGATGCTGTAAAGCTGGGATCTGAACAACGTAAAGGCAGTGCTGTGAAGAGAAGGGGAAGAGCAGGCCAGGAAGAGGGAACAGCTGGTGCAAAGGCCCCAGAGCAGGACAAAACTTGACCTGTTCAGCGGCAGTCAGTGGGTTTGGGAGGAAGAGAACAGGAAGATGCACAGTTCCAAGGGGACTGAAGAGGTGAGTCTGTGCAGATCTCTGATGGTCAAGTTAAGGGTTTAGGTCTTTATCTGGAGGGTGCTGAGGAGCCACTGAAGGGTTGGCAGTAGTGGCTTACCTTCCCGACCCACCCTAAAGTTCCTAGTTCCCTTAGGACATCAAAAGGGGTCAGCAGATAGGGGAGGGGGATGGCCCACACTAAGGTATTAACAGGTGTCAGTGGAGTCAGTTCCTTAGTTTTATCTGGTGGCACATGTCCATTTTAATAGGGCTTTTAGTGCCTCAGGATGAAGAAGTGACTCAAGCGGCAGCATTCTCAGTCCTCCCGGTGTTTTCATGAGAGGTCGGCCCTTCCACAGGCTGCCCTGGGTTGTGATCAGGAGTGGGGGAGGGAGGATGAGCCTGTGGGCAAGTTCATCTGCCCAGACTCTACTTCCCACATCCTGGGAAGCTCTTTTGGGAGAGGCTCCGGCAGAGGCTACTCCAAAACTAAGTCTAGGGCATCTGTCCAGTTATGGGGTCTGCATTCCCCCTGCTGATGGTGGAGGCCGTGGAAAAGGCAGTCGCTGGTGGGTCAGAGGGGAGGGGGCCTGGATGCTCCCCTTGCACGGAGCTGAGTTTGTGGCCCTTAGCTAATAAAAGTTAGCATGCTCTTCTCCCAGTGAGAACATCACAGAGCTTCTGTTAACCTGGATGTGGGAGTCTCTCAACCTGGAATCTACATGAAGCTCTATGTTTTGTGACTTAAACCTTTCCTGAAAGCAAGCCCATAGTTGTCCTCAATTCTCGAAGGGGGCGTATGAACCCAAAAAAGTTCAGGGTCAAATGACTTTTTTTTTTTTTTGCGGTACGCGGGCCTCTCACCGCCGTGGCCTCTCCCGTTGCGGAGCACAGGCTCCGGATGCGCAGGCTCAGCGGCCATGGCTCACGGGCCCAGCCGCTCCGCGGCATGTGGGATCCTCCCGGACCGGGGCACGAACCCCCGTCCCCTGCATCGGCAGGCGGACTCGCAACCACTGCGCCACCAGGGAAGCCCTCAAATGACTTTTTAAAAAGATATTCAGGAGTAGAAAAGAAAGAAAGATGCAGACAACTGGGTTTTCCTGTTCTGCCCAAATTTCTTGGGGTCAATGGTGACAATGAGGGACTTAACGTTAGCCTGCTGAAGGGAAGCTGGAAAAAGACCCTTTTCTTGAGAGAACCATCCCCAGCCAGCATGATCAAGCATTCTGAATGCCTGAAGGGTTGGAAGTATCCTGGGGCCACAGCCTCGATCACAGATCTTCCAGGATCTTGTTGGGGAGGGCGGGGGCATGGAGTCTAGCTTTCAGACCAAGTCTGAGGCTGTCACTGTGTCTGCCCCTCAGTTTGTGCGAGAACACATCATCCATATGCCTCAAGAGGACTATATCAACTGGCTGCAGGACCGAATCAACGTCCCCATCCGGCCCCACAGTGCCCAGAGGTAGTGGGCCTGGGTTGATCAGCGATCCCAGTGGAGGAGGGCTGTCTACACTGTGTTCCTGTTTCCTACCTACTCTCATGGATACTCGTTATGACCTAGTAGGGTCATCTGGAGACCAGATGACTCTGCCAGCGTTCTAGAGGGAGCTCCTCCCAGGTGGGAACTCCCTCCTGCCTCGCACCCCAGCCTCAGTCTCCCAGCCTCTGTTCCTCACTGGTCTAGCCTGACTCTACCTGCTCCCTCTCCAGAATCCTTCACTCTGTCTCTCCTCCTCAAATTCTAGACAATAAAATTGAGTTGAATGTTTGATGTTCGGCTGGGAAAAAGTTGGAGCTGTGGAATTTGGGCGTGGCATTCAGATCCTAATAATAACATACAGTTATCATTTATTGAGTTTTTGTTATACAACAGGCCCAGCGCTGGGTGATATTATTGCCTAATAATATCATTTAAATCTCACAATTACTTGGTTAAGTAGGTACTGATGTTATCCCCATTTCACACCATTGGAGCCAGAGGGTATTTCTCAGTTTTGTATATACTGTCCTGGATAGAGGTGGGTGGGTGGGTGGGTGGGTGGATGGATGGATGGGTGGATGGGTGGATGGGTGGATGGATGGGGCATTTCCCAACAAGGCAAATAGTGTGCCAGAAAATCTCGTTCTTAAGAGTCCTTGTAATATCTTGTGCTGGTTTTGGTTGTACAAGGAGGCTTAACTTCCTGTCCTCTCCAAATGTGTGTGGGCTCATTGCCATTTAACCTCTTTTCTCATCTTGATCGTCTGCTTCCCTACATCCTCACTAAGCTATAGGACCTGTAGTCATTTTAACTCTGTCACTGATGGCCAAGCTGAATTAACAATGAAACAACTGGACTTGGTTTGCGGTTATGCCCCGATTATCAGAACACTCATATAGGCTGGAGCCCAGCATCTCTCCATGATCCAGAAGGGGTGGAAAGGAAGAGAGTTGAACTGGAACCATTCTTCTGTCTAAGAAACATCTCACTCATCCGTTCACCTGTTCAGTTATTTACTCATTCATTCAATGAATATTTATCGAGAGCTCAACGTGCATCAACCAGGTTCTGGGTTCTGAGGGTAGAGCAGTGACCAAAGCAGACAAGCCTCCTGATCTCGAGAGTTTACATGGAGACAGACAGTTTACATGGAGTCAACAAAGGCTGATGGGGAGGGCAGAGGGACTGCATGACATCCACACTGATACCCTTTGTTTAGTGTGACTCTGTGACAGCCATTAGGGTATAGAGGTGAGGTGCAGACTGTCAGGAGTCTGCAAAGTTAGATCCTAAACTTCTCTGTATTCAGTAAGAATTGGGGTGAGGGGGAGCAGAGAAGAAAGGAGGAGGGCAAAGGCCTAGAGGCAAAAAGAAGCTTAATGTCATCTGAGGAGCCAGAATAACACACGTCTGGCTGGACTGTGAGATCAGGTTGGTAGCGCAGAGCAGGGGTTGGGAAGAGAGGGAGTCTGGGGAGGGAGGTGGAAGCCAGATTTTTAGATGCCTTCTAGGCTATGGGGCGCCATGGAAGGATTTTCAGCAGGGGAGTAATCAGATTTGCATTCAGAAAAAAAAAAAAAAAAAAGACCCCCGGGGGGGGCAAATCAACCCCATTTTTTTTCTTTTGCAACGTCAATTATCTCATCAATTCTGGGTTGGGAAGAGAGGGAGTCTGGGGAGGGAGGTGGAAGCCAGATTTTTAGATGCCTTCTAGGCTATGGGGCGCCATGGAAGGATTTTCAGCAGGGGAGTAATCAGATTTGCATTCAGAAAAAAAAAAAAAAAAAAGACCCCCGTGTGAGGACGAGGCAGGGAGAAGGGCACTGAGATAAGGCTACGGCAGCGACCGTGGGTGGCAGTGGTTGGGGGGAGATATTAGAAGGGTGTTTAAACGGTGGGATCAGCAGAAGTTGGTGTGGCGTGTCGTAAGTGGACAGAAGACAGGAATGTCAGGAATCATGTCCGGGTTTCCAGCTCAGAGCACTGGGTGGAGGATGGTGCCTGTAACGTACCAGGAGGAGGGGAAGAAAAGAAGGTTCGGAACGAGAAGGTAAAGGGGTTCTGTTTTGAGCATATTGAGTGGGAGATGCCTGTGGGGCAGTGGAGTCGGGGGACTTAAAACTCAGGAGACAGGGTAGCACTAGGGATAGAAACATGACACCGACATCCTATGGGCCAGGATTGCTAAAGCAGGAAGTGGGAGGAGAGGCTAGAAGAGGAGAGGGAGGGTCTTGAGGACCCTTGAGGGTCACAAAAAGCTTCAAGCAGCCCACTCACAGCCTAGCCTTGACCGAGGGACTGCTTTGCTCCAGACACTGTGCAGAATGCTTGCCATGTGTTATTTCATCTTCGTGATCTTGCAAGGCAGGGCTCACCTGCTTTACAGATGATGAAATGGAGCCTCCGAAAGGTGTTCTGTACTCATGTCCAGCTGACTCAGAATTCCCTCCCTTCTGCTGCTGCCCTCTAACCCCCCAGCCCTGACTGTATGAAACAAGAACGTCATGAAAGTTATCTGGCTTTTGGAATCATGTCCCAGGAATAGCTCTAATGATGGGGCCTCCTAGCGTCTCATTAACTTACATTTACCCTGCATTCTACGGTTTGCATCTTGCTTGATGATCACAGCATCCCTCTGTTGTGGGCATTGTTATAATCCCCATTTTACAAGTGAGGATGCCAACACTTACAGTCATTTGCCAACAGTCACATAGGCAGCAAGTGGCAGAGCCAAGTGGAGAACGTGTCTGTCTGTCTTGGGCAGGGGAGATGCTGGAATTACAAGACTTAACTCCACCCTCCTGCTTGCCACTTTCTGGGAAAGCCTATTGCTCAAGAGCTGTAGCTCCATCTAGTGGTGTACATTAGTAGTATGCTTCCATCATGCTCTCCAGCAAAATAAAACCTGCCAAAAAGGAAGAAAGCAAGCATTAACAGCTTAGGCAAGGAGTATTTATTCAAACAAAGGAAGCTCTTTTACCACTAAAATAGATTAGGGACCAGAAGGAGGCAGTACATCACCTCCCAGCTCCCAAGCTCAAAAAATATTTCTCAGGGGGAAATATTTTTGCTGTGAGCCTTTTCATCAGAATCATAATTGAGCACCTACTATATGCCAAGGCCATGCCAGGTGGCCCTCTGTTCCACTGCTCTGACTGAGCCACCTGAGTGGTTATCATGAGAGTTTTCAAAGCCCCACGCGCCCTGAAGAAGCTTTTTCTGTAAAGGAGCAGATAGTACATATCTGTTGCATATTCTTCTTATATACGTGGCCCTTTAAAAATGTAAAAACCTTCCGAGATTGGAGGTCACACTAAAGTGGACTACAGGACAGATTTGGACCATGGGCCGGAGTGGAACAGAGGGATGGACATGTAAAGTAATGCAGTAAAAGTCAACCCCTGAACTTGTGTTGGAACTGGCGAGAAAAAGGGGCTTTCTGCTGGAATTATTGACAATAAGGACAAAATAAGCCTACAGCTTGTGGAAGCCACCACACGGACACATGGACACACGGACACTGCCAATAAAGAGAGGAAGACAAAGCTGAGCAACGCAGCGAGAGAGATGCCAGATCTTGGTTGCACCATGGGAGCACCTGGATCTAGCCAGACCTTTGAACTTTTGCATCATGGGGATAAAGCCTGCTTCCGCCAGACTCAGTTTGGCCTCCTTCACTGGCAACAAAAGGATTCCTAATTAAAAGGAGAAAAGGGATCCGTGTATGAGTGTGGCCAAATTCTAGACAGCCCTGAAGAAGGGCTCTTCCTCTCACAGGGCTGGTGGGACAGTAGTGGGAGAGACTAACATCAGATAACGTCGTGCACGTAAAGCTAAGAGAAAATCCTGAGTTAAACCCCATGGCACCAATCAAGACACAAAGGGCAGACTAGGAACACAGATGTTTTATCACTCAGCTTTGCAGCAGGTGTGAAAGTGCCAATTTAGCTTTAAAAGAGCATAAATACACGTAAGGTAGGGGTTGTGATCAGAGCCAACCCTCCCGTATGTGACAGGAGATGCTGGATAAGTGAAGTCCCCAGCTCCGTGGTCTCCAAAGTGTGGGGTGAGGGGCTGGAAGGGGTGGCCGTGCACTAGATGATCCATTAGGGAGAAGAAAATGTCGGAACTCAGAGTTATCTTAACTAAAGTCTATTTTAAGCATTACTAGTAATTTAGATGTGGCTTGACCCTGGAACCTTCACTCAGTCTGTACTGAGAATGGCTCTACGGGTCTGGTGCCAGTGAAGCCAGGAAACCCAAGAGGAGAAGAGAGTCCCACAGTATGAAATGGTTCATCATCGTCTTCTCATCCTCAGTCTTCCAGTAAACTACGATGCCGCTTCTTTTTTTCTATTTTTAATTGTCTTTTGAGATACAGTTGACATGTAACATTGTATTAGTTTTAGGTATACAACGTAATGATTTGATACACCACAGTAAGTCTAGATGTCATCCATCATCACCTCACACAGTTACTTTTATTTTTTTCTTGTGATGAGCACTTTTAAGCTCTACGCCCTTAGCTACCTTGTCCAATATGGTAGCCATTACTTGCTTGTGGCTGCTGAGCACATGATATGAGGCTGGTGCAAATTGAGCTGTGCTGTAACTGAAAATATACTCAGGACTTTGAACATTTAGTATGGAAAAAAATGTAGAATATCTCATTAATGTTTTTTAATGTTGATTACCTGTCAGAAGGATAATATCTGGGATATATTAGGTTAAATAAAATATTGTATTAAGATTAACTTCATCTTTCGTTTTACTTTTTCTTTTTTTAGTGAAGTAAAGTTGATTTACAATGTCGTGCCAGTCTCTGCCATACAGCAACGTGACTCAGTTATATATATTGAATACATTTTTAAAAATATATTTATTTAGGCTGCGCCAGTCTTAGTTGCAACACACAAGATCTTCGTTGCGGCATGCAGGATCCTTAGTTGCAGCATGCGGGATCTTTTTAATTGCTGCATGTGAGA